CTCTCCTCCACCCTGTTCAGTAAGGCAGAAGTTATAGAAGTTTCAATACATGTATGAATAGATCAAAGAGCAGCTTCTTCCCCACTGTTATCAGACTTTTGAACAGGTCTCTCAAGTGTTAATTCTGATCTCTCTCTCTCTCTGTCTCTCTTTCTCTCTCTGCACCTTCTCTGTGGCTGTAACACTGTATTCTGCACTCTGTTCTGTTACCCTGATGCACTTTGTATGGTACAATCTGCCTGTATAGCACACAAAACAACTCTCTTAACGGTATCGTGGTACATGTGACAACAATAATTCAATCAATCAGTCATGTGCCTGCTGCCTTTGTCCTTCTAGGTGGCAGGTCACAGATTTGGGAAATTACTGTTGAAATGCCACGATAAGATACTGCAATGCTCTCTCACATTCTTGACTTGCAAATTGCAAATGCTGAAAAGGCTTAGGATAGTCATTAAGCAACTCCCTCACTGCAGACTGCCCAGAATCTGACTTGCTGCTGTAGCTACACATGGTATTTATCTGGCTGTTTCAGTTAGGTTTCTGGTGAATGGTGACCCCTGTTGTTGATGGGAAATCAAACTTCAAATTGTATGGGAGATGGTTACATTCTTACTCTTGTTGGAGATGATCATTTCCTAGTACGTGTGTGTATATTGTTCAGCTGTTTGGGTTTCTGGTTGTATGTGTCCATTGATTTCTCACTGTGCTGTGTGCTGTCTGTCAGCCTGAGTGGGGCTATATACAAAAACAGAAACTAGCTGGAAGCTTGAAGCAGCAAACATTTTAAAAGCATTTGCAATACAGTTCTATTCACAATAGAGATAGCAAAATCGCAGATGCTGTAGTCAGAGATAACACAAAGTTGTCACCAGAGATGGAGACGGAGAGGGAGGTATTGGAGATGATCCAGGTGAATTTGAGGTTGGGGTGTTAGTAAAGTTGATGAACTGTTCAAAAAGAACCTGGTGAGTGTTACTCTGCATATCTCTGGGGCACAAAACGCAATTGAGTGGCATGAACAGTCCAAAGATGTGCAGGCTAGGTGGATTGGCCATGCTAAATTACCCATAGTGTTCAGGGATGTGTAGATTAGGTGGGTTATAGGGGAATGGTCAAGGTGGGATGCTCTGAGGGTCGGTGTGGACTTGTTGGGCCGAAGGGCCTGTTTCCACACCGTAGGGATTCTATGATTTGAAATATTACTTGCCATTTATGAGGCCAGGCTGGAATGTTGTACTATGCTGCTGTAGGCATCGCTTTAATGATAGTGGAGCATTGGCAGATTGGGTGATAATTGGATTTGCCCCGTTTTGTGTGGAGTGGACATACCTGGGCAATTATCCACATTGTTGTGAAGCTGCCTATCCTGCAGAGCGAAGTGACATATGGTTTCTTTATAACTGTTCACTGTTCCAGGTCATGGCTGCAGTAGATAGTGCAGAAGTAGGAAGTAGGACATTAAAGTCAGGACTGACTAAAAGTAAGTGAAGGTGCAGTTTTTAAACTTTTTGTTTCTCCAGGTTATGCATGCATGTTTATTAATGAGAGGTACAAGATCTAGACTCCAAAAACACACAAAGGCCAAAATCTGGTGCAAGAAGAAACACTTTTTTAATATTATCCTGTTTAAAAAAAAATGCTAAATCTGCCAGGTTGATCCTAAATCACAAGACTCATTATATTTCTGTATTCTCATTTTTGACTGAGTCGTCAGAGCACCATTTATATGATCAATTGTGACTTAAGGCAGAAAGAAATATGATGATATAGCAAGATGTAAATGCCAAGAAGTAAGGATATGTGAATACACATTTCTTCATTTCTGTTAGCATTTTGCCCAGTACACATTCTAAAACTGTACCAGTGTTTGAAATTATATCTGTTTAGTTACAACTCTTTGATGTAGGGATACACACAAACTATCCACAAACTTTATATCCATGTTATTCTTCAGTTGCGTTTTTCTATTGGAATTGGTCTTATCCCATGCTATATCAACATTCCTGATTTAATTTTGCTGTGCTGGTTGTCATGTACTCTGTGAAGTGACCACTGGATGGCTCTGTGGAACACCTTCCTGTGTTGTGTTTCCTAACTGTTGCCATTGTATAACTGTAAAAAAAGTGTTCAAACATGTAATAGTATCTCCGCACAGGTTGATTAGAAAAAATACAGTAGGTTTTTTTTTAAGTATTCACCAATGTACAGTGAGCATGGACATGGACAAAATTATGTCCACACATCATATATACGTGTGTCTCCGAGTGCTGTGTACATGTGTGCACATTATATGTAAATGTATTCCAAAACTTTAGACAGTGCACCAAATGAAATGTTGGAAATGAAGAGCTTCTGGAGAACATGCCACAGACTAAGCTAGAAAAATAAAATCTGTGCAGCGTACTGCCTTACCATTGACATCATACCATCTTTGTAAGAAAGTGCTTGCTGTGCCGTATTGTGTGTTAGTAAATGTAAATCCTCCCTGAAGAATATGATAACGTCACTGGTGCATGCAGCCATGATGATGCAATGTGTATGACACTTGCCCATTTCCAAACATAAGTTGATTCATCAAGTGCTTTTCCCTGAAGCCATTTGCCATTAGTTAATTACATTGTTTTCTGAAACTGTATTTGAAGCACTTTAACGGGACGTGGAGAAGGTTTAGCTGAATGGAGATGTTTGGAATGAAGTCATCCACACAATCGCCCAACAGAGGAAGTTAAAGATGATGAGTAGGACCGAACTCGAAAGGACCTGCAGAAACATTAAATCGTTTGGGCTTTAACATGTTCTTCTTCATCATCCTCATCATCATCAGATTGTGTGCTATGTCCAAATTCAGGCCGTTAGCTATTAATACACAATCTGTGTCTCTCAATCCTGTGCCATTCCCTTCTTTTGCCGATAACATCCTTTGATTTTTAAGCTTTCCTATAGTGATATTATCTTTTTCTTATTCCTTGAAGTATTTCCTCCATATTGTCTCTGACAAGTCAGCTTCCTCTTAAAATGTGTCCTATGTATTTCTCTGCCTTCCCCTAATTATGTTCTTTCTTTGTTCATTGAATGTCTGCAGATATTCATCAATTGATATTTGTTCTGTCCAGCAGAACCTTTCCATTCTTCTTCAAACCCAAATTTCAAAGCTGTTTAGCAAGTTGGTCTCCCCCTACCATAAGGTACATATCTACCATCCATACAAAATAATATTCCAAAGCAAATTCCTTTCAAGTCACTTTGTGAATTTCAT